AGTCAGAACTGGCGGTCAGTTTCAGCAGCGGCTGAATCTGGACGCCAGTTCCGACTTACATACAGATTCAACTTAAGAACAAACCTACAGTCCCTATCTTGTACGTAACCCGGGGACTGCCTGTATCCACAAATCTATGTACTAGCACTAATTCAATAGGTGTTTGCTGTGTAGATGCATTCTTTCGAAATAAGCTATTTCGGAGTTTCTATTCCAAAATAGCTTATTCTGAAATAAGCATGCAGCATGCAAGCGTATGGCTATTTCAGGGTATGAGAGGTATACGAAATAGCTACCCTGTGTCTACACAAGCCACCCATTTTTTTAATATATTTTTCAAAATAATGGGCATCCTATTTTGCCATCCCGGTAAATTTCGTTGCATGAGGGATAAGCAATGGCTCAAAATAGCGCATTATTTTGAAATTTGGTGCTGTGAAGATGTGCCGTTTTCAAAATAAGCTATTTCGAAATAGATTTGAAACAAGATATGCAATTTGCATACTGAGTTTACGGTATGATGTAAATGTACCCTAACAGAACAGAATTTATCCCTTAAGATTTAATATCTAACTCTATTGTAAACTCAAGCTAGTTAAACTTTTCTTTTGTTAACAGACATATTACAGCAAAAACAGGAATATACTGAAAACACTTTTCAGTTATTTAGACATATAGACTGTAAAATTCCATTTGTTCAAGAAATGATACTGAAAATAAGAACATCAGTGAATCTCTTTTTCTTCAACACTAGCCTATAAGAACTATAAATGAACTGTGTCAGACACAAATGGATTCTGTCCTGAACAAAGAAATGAAGTTCAATGTTTCTTTGTCAAATTGCATAAAATACTTAAGAAAACACTAAACGCATAAAAAGGTATGTGGAAAAGAGTTTAAAACCTTGATTTATTAATTTTATAGTGATAATAAAAGCTAATTCTCCAAATAATATTTCTGTGTTATAATTCAGTTTGCCCTTGAATAGAGCTGGTAATATAACACACCTGCTGGTGCTGTACATTATTATCTATTCTAGGAGATAAGCATTCACGTGCTGAAGTACTCTGATCATTAGGCAACTTATAATTCTTTTTGATGGGGATCAAAGAGCTAAAGTTTTGGGCAGTTTAAAAAAACATAACAGCTGACAAGTTAAATCTCTGCCAAATTATTCAAGAACAATTTTGACAATATTAAACCATGCCTGGTTATAATACGGTCTCTGTCGCTAGCTGAAGAATAATTCTTTGGATTTTATTTATTAGTCATGTTTTCTTTTCAGATTTCAATCCTTCTTCATATAACTTTGATTCCCCCAAAAACTTAACAGGAAATATACTTAGAGCACTAACAAATTTTTTGAAATAGCATTTACTTGAATTAGTTCATCATCTTTTAACTATTATTTCTGTGGAATTACTCCTAATTTGTACACGTGTAACTGATAAGAGCAGATTGTCTATTTTTTTTATCAAAGTAGACTAATTATGTAAAACTTACTACTATGTAGGAAACAGGCTTTTTTAAATGCTATGAATCAGTTTAGTTTTCAAAGCAACATTAAACTTATATTATTTACTGTTTCTATTATGTTAGCCCATTTTCTAATTTCAAAGTAATTCTGAGATATTATAAAGAAAACCTACCAATTCAAAACTAAAGTAATCACTATTATCTGTCAAATATTTGAGCAGCTTTTCTATTGGATAAAAGGGAGATTAGTCAGTGCTGTGGGGGGAAAAAAAGCACTTTAAATTTCTAAAAAAAAAACTGATTAAAATTCAGTGCATAAGCATTGTCATAGGAATCATATTATTGTCTGTGGGCATTGATCCGGCTGTAGTTTACAAATAACTTTTGCCAATAATAATTGATTCAAGTTTCAAAATAAATACATATATTCCTCCAAGACTAACTACAAGGTACTAAAATTAAATCCCCTCACGTTCTCATTTTATAATTTTTATTATCTTAAAATTAGTAAAAAATAAACATATTAAAAATCTTACTTCTGATAAACTGATTCTTTGAGGAACAGTTCCTAGAACATCTCCACTCGTTTGTACAGCTAGCCCTGAAGGAGTGCCGAGGGTCCTCCCAATTTGACTCTTAGACGTTAAAGATCTGCTTCTTTGTATTCCTTCCTTACTTCTCTGGTTGCTAGAGATAAGAGGTCGTGTCAACAAACTATTTGGGGTTACAGGTCTGCTTCCTGGAGTTGACGGTGTTGAAGGCCTGTTGTTCTGCATATTAGGAGACTGAGGCCTATTGTTTGAGATGCTGGAAACCTGCGCTCTGGTGTTAGCAGGGAGTGGTGGTGATTTGTTTCCTTGTAGCTGCAGCTGAATATTTTTCCCAGTTTGAGACCTTGAATTTTGGCCCACTGTGGCTTGAAGATTTCCTGGATGATTTGATGTAACTAACTGAATATGTGGGCTAGTGGGGCTTCTTGCTAGCCTTGCTTCTTCCCAGAGTGCTAGGTCCTTTTCAATGTCTGCGCACAGAAAAAAAAAGACAACAAGTAACATTAAAGTTTAAAAAGGATACACTAGGGACTTGTTCACATGGAGACTCGGTGCACAGCAAGTCAGGATCTGAACGTACAGTGCTCCAGTCTGCTGCACACTAAGTTGTCATGTAGACCCTGTGATTGTGTACTAAAAGTTCCATAGGGTACTTTGATGTTCTGCTGTTTGAAACAGAAGTTAAAGAGCATTTTTAGTGTGTGGTAGCAGGGTCCATATGGACAGTGAGACACAGCAGGCTAAAGTGCTGCAGATGTATACCTGGATTGCTGAACAGTATCTGTCCATGTAGAAGAGCCTAATCTATATAATCTCTTTTCTTCTGGATTTTGAAATTGATTTAAAGTACGAATGAACAGTAAATGCATCTTAAGGTTGTGGAGAGAAAACCTACTCATCACCTCTCAATCATCCCTACCAATAGAAGGCAGACTGAACTAACAATCTAAAATATGTTTTTACAAGCCATTTCTCCTTCAAAGTTCATCCCTAAGAAATGGACTAAGACATCACTTTGTAGCAATCTTTTCTTGACATGAAAGGTATTAAAGCCAAGAATAACCTTCATTATTTCTCCCAAGTTACAGTTCTGTAAGGCAATGTCTACACTAGGAAACTATTTTGAAATACTAAATTTGACTTCTGATTTAACAAATTCGAACTAGCCCTCACTAAGGAGAAGCATCAAAATTAGTCCGAGGCAGGCTCCATTAATGTGGATGTGTTACCTTGGACTTACAGCCCCAGGAAGCACTGGGGAGTAATTTCTTTGAATTATTCTATGCAGTAATTATTTCAAGATAGCGGCACTAGACAATCCACACTGCCATTATTTCAAAATAACATTTTGGAATTAGTGGTACTGCTGATGAAAAACAAGAGTACAGATTTTGAATTCCGCAGCCCATTATTTTAAAATAACAGGCGTGGTAGTGTGGACGCTCCACTGATAAATTCGACGTCGGGCTAACTTCTGTGAAATGTCTCTTTAGTAACAAATAAAGATGGAGCAAAACTCTGGTTCTGAATAAACCTCAGCTCTTTTGAGGGAGGAACGTGAACCAGATTCAATATCACTAACTTCAGCAGAAACAATCCTTTATACCCAAGAATTTGGTCCATAAAGGGGCTTTAGCTTTATCTAAGCCACATTCTAAGTCACTTCAATGGGAAAGCCTCTACCCAGGCCAGGACATTTCACTGTTGGTGAAGAATTTTTGCTCCTGAATTCATTCAAAATAAATTTATGTTTCTAATTTACAGGTAAATGAAATCATTACAGTGTAAAGTAATGGTAGCTTGGTCCTTTACTATACTAGCAAAATGAAAGCCCTCACAAGTAAAAATGTCAAGGAACATAAAGCAAGACATTCACTGAATTATCTAATTTATGTTTCACCACTGTTGTCAATTTCACACAGTCACTGGCAGATGACTCTATTTAACTTTGGTTTAATACACACAATTGGTTTCCTTTAAAAACCACAGCAGTTCCATTTTGCTTTAAACAGTATGAGCCACATTATCAGCAGGTGTGAACTGGCACAGCCCCATGCACTACAAACTGTGTGCGTATAATGAAGCCTCCAACTCACAGAAAATCTGCATTGCATTTGTGACTTGACAGCAAAGTCTTCAGGATGCCAGAAATTCTACAGCAACCATCAAACCTTGTTTTCCAATACTTTAATTTAGACTTTATTTTCATCCACTTCCACCTATATTTACCAAACACATACAGTATTTATACTATACACACAAGTAGAATTGTCTAACATTAAAATGTGCTCATATTTTATTAAATATTTTATGCATTTACTTTTTTAAAAATAGAAAAACTAATTGTGTCTGTTCATCTAAAACAAAACAATCAATATGTTAGAAGACTGGTAATGGAGAAGAAGCACTCAAATTGTTAGTGAAAAGTCAAAGCAGTTGTTTTCATTTTACATTACACTTTTTTTTTTTAAATCAACATGTGTTGCTTTGAATTGTGTAAGATAACTGTTTCAAATCACAGGGATCAAATACCATTATTATAAGTTTCATAATTTAAACCAAACAAAGTATGTATTCTATTAAATTAATATTAACCCGTTTCATGTCAAAATGACTAAAGTATCTAACTTCTGTGCCCTAATTCATAGTAGATCAGGCTGGAAAAATGATCTGGAATATCCATGCTTTAGTAAGAGTTCTCTAAACATCATATTCTTTTTTTCCATAATTTTAAATTAGCGCTTGAGTCTACAGAAAAAGCCATTTCTCCATATACAGTAGACTTCCAATAATCCGGCACCTTTGGGACCCAGGGAGTGCCGGATTATCGGATATGCTGGAGTATCTGGAGGTACTCCAGCGGGGAGGCTGTGACGGGTCTGCCGGGACCCGCACTGCAACTGGCGGGGGCGAGGAGGTTGGCAGGGAACGGCGCGGCGAGGGGCAAACCCTCTGCCGTTTTGCAGAAAGGTGGGGGAAGCCACGCGCAGCCACCGGCGCCACGCCAGCTCGGGGGGGCAGGC